TTTTTTGTGACATATTAATGCTTAGTCAGCATTCATTCTGCTGTTTTACTATTTATATTTTTCTGGATTGAAACAAGTTCAGCAAACTTTCAGCTATTTCAGCTTCAATTTTGTTTACCTTTTCATGTACAAGTCTTAAAAAATGTATTGTTCTTTTAAATHTTCATCATACTTATGTGGTTTTTGTCTTTTAACTACTTTTCTGTAAGTTTTAGCTTGTAGCCACTGTTTCGCAATATTTAACTACTGTATTATAATTGTAGCTTTTAGCCACTGTYTTGCTAGTTTTAGCTATATKTCTTGTTAAGTTTAGCCATGCATTTTGCTTACTTGAGCTTTTTCTCTTACCTGATTTAGTTTTATTTGTTTCTAACTTYAGCCTTCTCTTTAGCTAAGTTTAGCTTTTTGCTGCTAATTTTAGCTATATGTTTTGCAAAGTTTAGCATTGTTTCTCGCTATATTCAGCTTTGGCTCTTGCTAAGGTTAGCTTTTTTCTTTATTTATTGGCTAATTTTAGCTTTTGTTCTGATTGTTACACCTTTAACACATCATTGTTGGTCATGTTGCAGTTTCTCAGAAAGTGCCGCTTCTTTTCTTTTTTTTTTTTTTTTTTTTTTTTTTTCTGTTTTTTTTTTTTTGGTTGCTCTTTCTGGGTTTTACTGTCATTTTGGTTTTACTTCTTCTGGTCTGTCCTCACAGTGGCGATGAAGACGGCCTGCTGCAGAGCAGCGAGGGGAGGAGGGACGAAGAGAGGAGGAGCATCTCTCCGTCCGACCCGGTGGAGTCTCTCAATGCTTTCACACGGAAGGTTGGAGCGTTTGTTAATAAACCGAGCACACAGGTAAATAAAAACACCTACTTTATCCATACTGTTCTACAGTAAAATGACAGCAGGTGTGTGTGTGTGTGTGTGTGTGTGTGCGCGTAGGTAACAGCGGGCAGCCTTGATCTGCCTTTTGCAGCGTTTGCTCCTCGTGGACTGGACTCCGAGGAGACTGACCCCATGGTAGCTTCAGATCTGTTGCAGCTTCTACAAACCTCACTGGTCGTAAGCAGCCTCAGTGAGAATTTGTTTGTGTGTTTTGGGTCCAGGTCCACCCCCCAGACTCTCCTCCCTGCCAGTCCCCCCTGCAGGCCAGCCTTCACTCTCAGGGCTCAGACGGGTCGGCGCAGCCGGATGACTTTGTCATGGTCGACTTTGTGAGTGTTTATTGAGCTGAAAAAGACGTACATGTTTTTGTTGGTTGGAGATCTTAAAGTCACACATCCGTCTCCAGCGTCCAGCCTTCTCTAAAGACGACCTGATGCCGATGGACCTGGGCACCTTCTACAGAGAGTTTCAGAACCCCCCACAGCTGGCCAGCCTCTCGCTGAACACCAGCTGCCAGTCGATGGCTGACGACCTGGTAAATAAAGGACGTTAACCTTCTGTCTGTCTCACAAAACGCTGACATGGATAACCGTGTTTGTGTCGTCCGTCTGCAGGACTCGCTGCCGGAGAAACTGCGGGTGTACGAGAAAAACWTGGACGAGTTTGACGCCTTTGTGGACATGCTTCAGTAGGAGAAACGGACCGCCTGGAATAAACAGATAACCACAAAAACAAGCAAAGGTGGACATTTAGTCCCGGAGAGAATTAACTCTACTACTCGACTAAATGATCGTAATTAGTCTTGAAGCTCCTTTTAGTTTTACTCTCACCAGTCTTCTTCACTGTAAATACTGTATTAAATCACAGACCTTTTACTTCCCGTGAGGCACAAATCATCACTCGTAGCTTAATGAGTCACATCTTTTATGAATTGAAGGACAGTCTTCTGATTCTCATCACTCTTTTAGTAAASCTGCTGTAATTTATTCTCCCTCCCTGCTGAACTCTTCCAGCCTTCGAAGGTTTCCTGGATGTCACATCAGCGATGTTCCTCTACGAGTCTGGGGRAAAAGCAGAGGTTTGCCCAGCTGGTCTGGGAAATGAAAAACAAATTTAAGATGGACTGGTCATCATCAATGATCAATCATTACGCTTCAAACTAAAACACCATCCCTCTGACTAAACACACATTCATGTCTTTTTTTTGTCTAAATGGATGGATGATCTTAGTGTCTAAGTCTAAACAGGACGCCAAGTTAGAGCTTTTAATGAGTTTAAATCTCTTCTTTAAATCCAGTCATGAAGGTTTGATTTATCGGACGTTAGACTAGTGGTGTTCTGAATGCTTGTGTATATTTTGTGAATTTGTAAAAAAAGAAAGAAAATTGGATAAGCATTTCCAGATGTTCACAGAAACGTCGTCACGGCTGGTTGAAAGCTTTAATTTAAACCCGTTTGTGTAGTTGTCCTAATAAAGCATGACTGCTCTGTCTCCAGGTTACCAGCATCATCTTTGAGGTGTACTGGTCTGAGGAATCTTGTGAAAGTAGCAGAAATCTGGGTTTTCCTTTGTGATGCTCACAGAATAAAACTTCCACGTAGCAGCTCTAATGCTCCTCTGACATGATAAAAGCTGAAAGCTGCAATAAAACAGCCCCCTTTATGGGCTGTTGAGACCCTCACATCTCCACCGGGACAAASTAATCATTCACTAAACTTACAGCACCACCTGCTGGTCTTAAGGTGGAATCTGTGCAGAAGGAAAGTTCACATAACTGCATCATCAGTTCGGGTTTTAGTGGATTAAAGGGATCCATGATTAGTTGTAACATTAGACTTTATATGATAAACATATATTTTAACTGTAAAATAAAGACTGTAAAAATNCTCATCCAGAGTGTTGGGTCTTGTGTCTCTCAACTTTCTCTTCCCAATATCCCACAGATTCTCTGTGGGGTTCAGGTCAGGAAAGTTGGCAGGCCAATTGAGCACAGTAATACCATGGTCAGTAAACCATTTACCAGTGGTTTTGGCACTGTGATTAGGTGCCAGGTCGTGCTGAAAAATGAAATCTTCATCTCCATAAAGATTTTCAGCAGATGGAAGCATGAAGTGCTCCAAAATCTCCTGATAGCTGCATTGACCCTGGCCTTGATAAAACACAGTGGACCAACACCAGCAGCTGACATGGTACCCCAGACCATCAGTGACTCACAACTCTTCTGGTTGTGCAGCGTTTTCTGCCACACTTTTTCCTTCCCACAGACTTCCCACTGAGGTGCCTTGATACAGCACTCTGGGAACAGTCTATTCATTCAGAAATGTCTTTCTGTGTCTTACCCTCTTGCTTGAGGGTGTCAGTGATGTCCTTCTGGACAGCAGTCAGGTCAGCAGTCTGACCCATGATTGTGGTTTTGAGTAATGAACCAGRCTGGGAGTTTTTAAAAGGCTCATGAATCTTTTGCAGGTGTTTAGAGTTAATTTGTTGATTCAGATGATTAGGTTAATAAGTCATTTAGAGAATCTTTTCATGATATGCTAATTTTTTGAGATAGGAATTTTTGGTGTTTCTTTACTTTTTTGCCAAAATCATTGATATTAAAACAATAAAAGGCTTGAACTACTTCAGTTGGTGTGCAATGAATCTAAAATATATGAAAGTTTAATGTTTATCAGTACATTACAGAAAATAGTGAACTTTATCACAATATGCTAATTTTTTTTAGAAGGACCTGTATATGCTTAGAAAATACATAATACCTCCTTTAAGCTTCATACGGATGTTGCCAATTGACTGAACGTCAAACACAACTCAGCTAAGCAAAGGGTTGCATGTCTAGGGTTTTTTTAGTGCAATATCAAAGTCATTTAGACCAGTGGTTCCCAAACTTATCTTCTGACCCACAAAATATCCATGGCAAAAACTTGTGACCCCTGGTCTGGGTACACAAACTTCATTAATAACACTAAAAACACAGGCTTTTTGACAATCTAAACAGCTTGTACACAAATATACTTCTGGACGGGTTCTTCTCTAATGAAACGTTTCGTCTCTCCTCCAAGAGACTTCTTCAGTCTGAGAGTTTCAGGCAAAATTCAGGCTTTTAAGCAC